AGCTGTTAACTAACCTATTGCTACTTTTAGCTTTTAATTAGCCTTTTACTATTCTGTCAACTAACGTTTTCACCAGCCTTTTGGTGCTTTTAGCTTTTGCTAGCCATTTGCTACATTTAGCTAGCCTTTTTCTATTTTTTTTTTCTTTAGGCTGATCTTTTGCTACTTCTGCCTTTCAGCTAGTGGTTTTTTTTTGTCTCTTTTTAGCTAGTGTTCTGCTTCTTTTAGACTAACAACTCTGTTTCAGCTCCTTCACTCAGCATTCACGCTGCATTATCAGACATTTTATTTTAGTTACAGTAACATAAGAAAGCTACACAAAACAGCTTATTTTTTGTAAAGATTTTTCTCTTGTTCCATTCAAAAGAATCTTTACCTGTTCTTTAAGGTAGCAGAGGCGATCGAGGAGAATCAGGCCTTCGATACACGGAGCAAGAGTCACCTTCAGCTACAAAAAGGAAGAAAAATCTCCATTTTATTTTAAGTACAGTAAACGTTAACGCTACCACACATTTGGAACAAACCGCTCTGATAAGGCACCCATACCAAAAACCCATCATGACATTTGTCCCAATAGCTAGTTCCAAGAAAAAATAACATTCGAGTGTTTTAAACCAGTAAGAAAAGAAAATGTGTATTCTGGCTGACACCATAATTGGTGGCTTGAGAAAGAAGGAAACAAAAAAAAAACGGAGGCTGTTTTTCTTCCACCTCTCCAATCCCCACAGGGCTGTCATTTGTTTTGGTCATTTGCAGGAATGAAAATATTTTACACTAAATCCAAACCGGTAATTGTGGCGGTAATTGCTCCGAGTATTGGATAAAGATAAAACCAAATGTGTTGCGAATGGTTTTATAACGATATTTTGGGGAACTCACCATGTTAAAGGCATGCATCTCGCCCATTCGTGCTCTGTACAGGTCACTGTAGGCCTGAATGTCACTGTCCGAAAGCTGGAAAAGCAGAAGGAGGTGTCATGTACAGGTCGTGAGCGGGATTTAAAAGTGCTTCGTGGCTTTTAAACGTTGCGACAGACATCTTATTCTCTGATTACCAGACGGCAAACGTGATTCTGACTGTCAACACACATTCAGAGTTTCTAAACACAGATCTAACCTAGACCTGGTGGTCCAAAAATATAAATAAATTTAAAAAATCACAAATTAGTTGCGACACGTTGTCAAAGCTGTATTTATGTAAGGTTTCCAACAGTTCGGTGCTGGAAGGTGTTGCGAGATGAATGCGGTTCTCTCCACCTGACCTTCGAGTCATCCAGCTCCAATCTGCGCAGCGCTCGACGGACGTAGTCCACGAACGACGTCGCCTTGGAATAAACGTTCCCGACTCTCTTTTCACTGTGGAACAAACGTGTAATGCTTCTCAGCTTTGGCACAGAGACATAAACAACCTGTCACTCCTTCAGTCTCGTGCCGTGTCTCCATTTTTGGTTTTAAACGACGGCTTTAGCAAACAAACCTTTCTGATGAATGGCTCCAGACTGGGGAGAGCTGATGGGTTTTCACTGCTAATAAGTCATTAACGTGAGGATCAGAGGGCCGGTGGGCGTGGGAGTAAATATGTGTCGCTAGGATTTGAATTAAAAATGCCACTGAAATTTTAGTGTTGCATGTTAATTTTTTAGTGTTAAAATATATTCAGAATACAGTTTTAACTTTAAAAAAATAATAATTGTCATTGTTTCTATATGTTTGAAATTTCACGTTATTTTCACTTCAAGCTAAAAATTCACACTATTATTTCAAAGTGATCACATTTTCAATAGTTTTAACTTTTGAGTGTTAAAAAATTTGGCACATAAAAAAGTCAACCTTTCAAAATTCAAACGCAATATTTTCAGTCTCCTGAGACTCAACAGGCTCAGTTTCGCAGTCTGAAATTCAGTGTAAAAACAAAATGGGCAGGGTTACTTCAGGTCACAGACATTAGCAAAGGATGTCAGAATCTAACACCCACATCTGCTTTCTTAGTCACGAGATGTTACGCTTGTTGCTCCGATTTTTGAAGGAAAACAGCATCTCCGAGGAGGTCATGGAAGCCAACGCTAACTCAACGGTGAGTTTTATGTTTTCATTTTTCTGTAGTTTGATTTATGTAGTATCGAACTTGATGTGCAAAAAAAAAAAAAAAAACATACTACAGAAAAATTTAAACATAAAACTCACTGTTGAGTTAGCGTTAGCTTCCATGACCGCCTCTGAGATGCCGTTTTCCTTCAAAAATCGGAGCAACAAGCGTAACATCACGTGACTAAGAAAGAAGATGTGGGTGTTGGATTCTGGCATCCTTTGCTAATGTCTGTGACCTGAAGTAACCCTACCTTTTTTTTTTTACACTGAATTTTTAGACTGCGAAACTGAGCCTGTTGAATCTCAGGAGACTGAAAATAGTGTGAATTTTGAAAGGTTAAATTTTTTTTATGTGCCAATTTTTTTTTAACACTGAAAAGTTAAAACTATTGAAAATGTGATCACTTTGAAATAATAGTGTGCATTTTTAGCTTGAAGTGAAAATAACGTGAAATTTCAAACGTATAGCAATAATGACGATGATTTTTTTTTAAGGTTAAAAACGTATTCTGAATATATTTTAATGAAATTCAATGAAAAATTAAATACAAACATGCAACATTAAAATTTCAGTGGCATTTTTAATTCAAATCCTAGCGACGCATATTTACTTCCATAGTTGGGTCTTTGGAGAAGTTTTGATCATATCTACAGCAACAAGAAGTCAAATGTGTCTTGCTTGTTTTAAAGGAAATGCTGCAAACTGTTCTGTTAGAAGACCATTTTAATTGTTGCCATTAAACCACGTTAGTGTTGACATTATGAGCACATTCTCTCATGCTGGCATCAAGTTTAAAGAGCTCAAATCAGTGTTCATAGCTGTTAATGTCTAAAGTCGTAATGTTTCAACAGCTGATGTCAGCACTCTGAAGCTAACCTTTGAGTCAACTAAGGACTAATTTCAACTCATTAGGCATGACCTGATCATTTCCCCAAAGCCTGGTCTACGTCTGAGCACACGTGGCTCCAGTTCGCAGGTTTTGGTTCATTTGGAATCTAAACAAAGCAGAAACAAAACCCCCCTTCGGTTCAGAACAATGCAAACAACCCCCTGGTTGGACGTCAACGAAAGCTTGACGCCTATTCTGTTCTCCGTCATTCCCACAAAAACAATTTAGACTGAAGCCAATGAAAGAGACGTGTATGAAGGTGGTGTGTGTGACCTTTTATAGGAGCTGTAGTGGTCCCTCAGAAGAACGTGAAGCACGGCTCTGTAGAACAGAGACTCCATCTGGATCTGCGTTTAAAAAAATAAATAAATTGACGGCAATTTACAATTTTCTCTAGCACCGTTCTTCTTCCCTTCATGCAGCCTGGTAGATGAACATTTCTGACACTTTGCAACACCGGCAAGCAATTAAAGCTTGTTTTTAGGTTCGTGCCTCCGTTCCAGCAAGTGATCAATCTTTCTGTGATTGCATTAATATTTATAAACATTCCACATTAACGACGACGGGTATTGTGTATCGGGTTTGGCCTGCAGCCTCCGAGCTCCACGTTTCAAATAAATACACCCAAGTCAATCAGAGGCTGAAAACAAAAGCAGAATGAATGCCCTGATTGCTAGAATGCACAAATCTACAATTAAGATCAACACAGCCCGGGTGACGGTGATGATCTATGTTTATGGGTTGAAAATAGGTCAGTACATTTGTTTGGATGAGCGCAATGACAGATTAGATAAATACGTTGCCATTTGTGTGTGATGATGATTATTAGTTTATGATTCTGATTAGGATACAGACTTTACTCACCCCCTGGCCAAGGGAAACTCTCTCCAGAGCCTGTTAGAAAAGAAAAAAGACAAACTGTTGCAACTAAGTGTTTCCTGGAAAAGAATTTGAACAAAAACGGGGAAAAAAAATGTTTTTGCTTGGCTAAAAGCGTTCATTCGTATCAGGCAGCAAGACACCAACAAGGTCACCGAAGTTCACTAAAGTGAAGCATTTTGTTCCGGTACATTTAATCCCACCCCCACCTGCTTCCAATTCATGTTGATTTATTTGCTTTACGTGCAATCAGCAACTTTTGGATGACTTTTTCTTTTCTGTGTAGATGAAAGTAAGCAGACATCAACTTCATTTGATTTTTTTTTTTATGTCAAATGCACCAGTAAATTATTTATCTTTTCTAAAGAAAATGGAAGCAGAAATGTTCGATTTTCAGTAAAAATGCAGTGAAACTGTGATTTCATCTATTCTACAACCAATGGTTCCGAACTGTGGTCCTTGTGGAACACCATCCTGCATGTTTTAGTCGTTTATTCTGAGCAGGCTTCTGCAGAACTTGAAGTAATTAAAACCACTGAATCAGGTGTGTTGGAGCAGGGAAACAAGTAAAACATTCAGGATGGTGTTCCTCAAGGACCACAGTTGGGAACACTGTTTAAGTGGGTGGGTCCTGATCTATTAGGCCCCACCCACAATGCCACGCCTGCTTTGAGATTGAAGAATGTTCAATACTGGCCAAGAACCAAATCCCCGCTAACCCGCCAATAAACCTCAGACCTGGACTCGCAGCAGCGTAACAAGATAATCTAAAGTATTTACTTCAGCTAAGGGTGATGACGGCGTCTTGGCTCATCAGCCTGCTTTACTGTCAGTTTGAGGCTTCTGTTGGACAGACGCACATTTTCTTCCTGCATCGTCAGACTCACCAAACACGCTGACATCCTGGCATTCCTGCCACAGAACCAGCTCTGATGGCGGAGGTACTGACTCAGGGGGAAACCACACGCAGTCTGCAAACGCTCTGTGAGGGGAACACACGGCGATAAACTCTGAGTGTGCTGACGGAACAGTGGGGCTCCCGCAAATTGTTTCCACGAGTGCAGTTCCTGTTCAAAACGGGCCAATTTGTGTTGCCTGAAGGCATCCTGAGGAGATGAGATTCTCACTGTGCAATACTGTTAATATAGTAAGAAGACAAAGAAGGGTTTGTGGAAACGTGGAGCTCCTGTAAAACTGGAGCTGCAGACAACAAAATACGTGATTTCACAAGAAAAAAGAATATTTGGACTCCAGGGTGGAAAACTATTGACATCTTTTCAATGGATTTTGGGCATAAAAGCTCCAATGTTAGCATCATACACAAAAAAATAAAAACGTGACCATAAAGAGATCCCAGACTCCACTGGATGTGTCGGCCAAAAACTTCAAATGTAAAAACTGCTGACTCTCAGCACATCAAATACAAAGAATACAAACATAAAATACACAAATAAGGACAAACATGAACTCAGTGATGTTTTAGGGAAATTTGTTTGTGAATAAGCCTCTCCAGCGAGTCAGTACATTTGATAGATTTTAAAGTAGCATCCAATCAAGTACTTACTGTACATGTACAAACCGGATTCCAAAAAAGTTGGGACACTAAACTAATTGTGAATAAAAACTGAATGCAATGATGTGGAGATGGCAAATGTAAATTTTTATTCGTAATATATCATAGATGACAGATCAAAAGTTTAATCTGAGTAAATGTAACATTTTAAAGGAAAAATATGTTGATTCAAAATTTCACAGTGTCAACAAATCCCCAAAAAGTTGGGACAAGTAGCAATAAGTGGCTGGAAACAGGAAATTGAACATATAACAAACCGCTGGAAGACCAATTAACACTAATTAGGTCAATTGACAACATGATTGGGTATAAAAAGAGCTTCTCAGAGTGTCAGTGTCTCTCAGAAGCCAAGATGGTAAGAGGATCACCAATTCCACCATTGTTGCGCAGAAAGATAGTGCAGCAATACCAGAATGGTGTTACTCAGTGTAAAATAGCAAAGACTTTTAAGTTATCATCATCAACCGTGCATAACCTCATCGAAAGATTCAGAGAATCTGGAACAATCGCTGTGCGTGTAAGGGTCAAGGCTGTAAAACTCTACTGGATGCTCGTGATCTCCGGGCCCTTAAACGTCACTGCACCTCAAACAGAAATGCCACTGTCAAGGAAATAACAGAATGGGCTCCGGAATACTTCCAGAAAGCATTGTCAGTGAACACAATTCACCGTGCCATCCGCCGTTGCCAGCTGAAACTCTACAGTGCAAAGAGGAAGCCATTTTTAAGCAAACTCCACAAGCTCAGATGTTTGCACTGGGCCAGGGGTCATTTAAAATGGAGTGTGGCAAAATGGAAGACTGTTCTGTGGTCAGATGAGTCACGATTTGAAGTTCTTTATGGAACACTGGGACGCCATGTCATCCGGACCAGAGAGGACAAGGATAGCCCAAGTTGTTATCAACGCTCCGTTCAGAAGCCTGCATCACTGATGGTATGGGGTTGCATGAGCGCTTGTGGCATGGGCAGCTTGCATGTCTGGAAAGGCACCATTAATGCAGAGAACTATGTTCAGGTTCTAGAACAACATATGCTCCCATCTAGACGTCATCTCTTTCAGGGAAGACCCTGCATTTTTCAACACGATAATGCCAGACCACATTCTGCAGCAATCACAGCATCATGGCTACGTAGGAGAAGGATCCAGGTACTGAAATGGCCAGAATGCAGTCCAGGTCTTTCACCTGTAGAGAACATTTGGCGCATCATAAAGAGGAAGGTGCGACAAAGAAGGCCCAAGACGATAGAACAGTTAGAGGCCTGTATTAGACATGAATGGGAGAGCATTCCTATTTCTAAACTTGAGAAACTGGTCTCCTCTGTCCCCAGACGTCTGTTGAGTGTTGTAAGAAGAAGGGGGGATGCCACACAGTGGTAAAAATGGACTTGTCCCAACTTTTTTGGGATTTGTTGACGCCATGAAATTTGGAAACAACAGATTTTTCCCTTAAAATGATACATTCTCTCAGTTTAAACTTTTGATCTGTGATTTGTGTTCTATTCTGAATAAAATATTAGATGTTGGCACCTCCACATCGTTGCATTCAGTTTTTATTCACAACTTGATTAGTGTCCCAACTTTTTTGGAATCCGGTTTGTACTTTTAGATTGTAGTATTTAGATTATTGGTATGATTATTCCATTTACTGATGTCTGAAATAACTAACTAGTCCTAAAAGGACGTGTTTTAATAGAAATTTAAAATAACTTTAAAAATATAAAAGGTAATTTTTCCAGCCAGAAGGTTTAAAATTAAACTTGTGATTAGTGGCAATAGGAGTGTAGATATGTTCATCCTAGTGACATGTGAGTACAGTAGTCCCTGGTTTATGGCAGGGGATCTGTACCCTGAAGCCCCGCCATAAGTGAAAAGCTTTTGAGGGAAGTGATTAGTTTAGTTCAAATGTTTTTATATGTTTTATAAAGCCTATAACTCTTCCCAGATGTTTTTTTTTTTACATGAGTGGGCACTTTTTTATTGTGTTTACTGCTTTTATTGTATTTATAACATAAAAAAATAGTTTCTATAAATCTTCCTTCTTTTTTTTCCTTCAATGTTTTGTGAAACTCTCATTTCTGATGAACATATAGTCTCAAATTAGTGTTGAAATATTGTTATATTGGATTTGTAGAGTGGTTTTGTGTGTGTGTTTTGTCTATTTTTTGTCCTCTGATCTTTCTCTCTCTCTGTGAGTGTGTGTGTGTGTGTGTGTGTGTGTGTGTGTGTGTACCCTGTCCGTCAGGGTCAAACTCCTCAGACAGTAGGTGATAGCAGCAGCCCACGCCGCAGACTGCGGCCAGCTCTGCTTTAGCCACAAACATCCTCAGCGTGCTGGCAGCCAAGTCTCCACACGTGTGCAGGCCGACCACGACGGCTCCCTGCAGTTGGGAGGAATCCCGCAGAGATGGGAGAAAAGAGAGGATGTGGGTACGGGTGGGGATTGATGGAGGAATGTATCGATGACGACGTGCTGCAGATTTAACGCCGCGCGCTCGCTCCTGCAATGTGAACTTCAGCAGACGGATTCAGGCTGTTGCCAACCGTGAGTTCATTTTCAGCGTGCACTGACCTCCAGCTCGGTGATGAGCTCTCGCAGCTCGGTGTCGGCCGTGACATAAGATGTGAGCGGTGCGAACACGCCGCCTGAGCTGTCCCGTCTGCTCCGAGCCTTCCTCTCCAGGTTTGCCCTCTTCCTCCTCTCCTTCTCCTCAGCGCTCAGCTGACTCGGGGCGACTCTGGGGGGCGAAGCCTGGATCACGTCTGCCGACAGGGCGCTAAGGAACAGCTCCTCTGTTTCTGGGATTATCTCAGGCTGCACCTCCACCGCTGGGTTGATGTGCGAGGAGCCGACTGACCCACTTCCTGCAGAACGATGGCAGAGGACCGCTTCGTCCTCACGCAGCTCGAGCTTCCCTTTTACCGTCTCCTCCACTTCTGTCCTCGCCGCTTTGACGTGCTTCTGGTAGGCTCGTGAGAACTTCTTCAGCTTCCTGTTCCTCTCCTGAGCACCGTGGGTGTTGGTGCTGGAGGAGTCGATGCCGTACACTCGAAGGCCGAACTGCAGAGACAAGAAGGAGCTCAGGTAGCCTTTCCCCGAGCCCACATCTACCACCTGGAAGGTCAAAAATGCTGTTTACGATGTTGACTTGTGTGGAAAATCAAACGTAAATCACTGAAGGAGAGTTGCTCTACCTGTTTGACTCCACAGTTCTGGGCCAAACAGGCCACAACCTCAGACATGGACTGGACTTCATGGGACTTCTTTGAGTTCATGAACTCATCGGCCTCCAGCTCTGCTCCTGGGTTACAAAGTTTGTTTCGTGACGAAGCATAAAAGTTCACTCCCGTTAGACATTTCACTCTACAAAACAGCTCCAGCGGGAAGCCTCGCGTGCATTACCGATCTGTGCAGGCTCAGAAGCGCTGCCTCGGAGCTCCCGCAGCAGCTCCTCTCGGCTCAAACACACCCCGAGGCCGGGGAGAGAGTGGGCTGTGGCCGCCTCGAAAAGCTCATGGATGTCAAGCAGCCGATTGGAGGCTGTGCAAAACCCAAATGTGGTCCTGGACCTTTCTGTTTAGGAAGCAGACGTGTAAAAAAGTTAAATCGGGCTTTTTAAGAAAATGCATTTTATTTTAGTAACACGTTCCAGGCCCACTTGAAAGATGGACATCTTGTAAGGCCTACAGAATAACATCACAGAAGTTAATAACACAGAAGGGCAGCTCCTGATAACTTTTTTTTTTTTTTGAACAATGAATAATTTCACGCATACAAAAAAAGCAGGTTCTCCCCTTCAGGGACTCTGGAAAACAAAATGGGATGAGGATCAGCGCCTGTAATCCAGGGTCATGTTCTCATTTGGAGAAGGGTGGACTGCCATCTGCGGGTTAGAGATTCATGAGTCTAACAGCTTCAGGGTAGAAGCTGCTCCTCAGTCTAGTGGTTCTATACTCGATGCTCCTCAACCTCCTTCCTGAGGGGAGTGGGGCAAAAAGTGTTAGGAGTTAGGGTTAGGAGTGAGACGCTACCGCAAGTGAAGGAGTTTAAGTATCTTGAGTTTTTTTTGTGAGTGAGGGGAAAAATGGAGCGTGAGATCGGTGCAGCTTCCACAGTATTGCTGACTTTGTGCTGGTCCGTTGCGGTGAAGAGGGAGCTGAGCTGCAAGGTCAAGCTTTCTGTTTACTAGTCAGTTTCCATTCTTACCCTCAGCTATGGTCACAAATCTGAGTAGTGATCAAAAGAAAAAGGTTACAGACCCAAGCTGTCAAAATGAGTTTTCTCCACAGGGTAGCTGGACCCTCTCTTAGAGATGGGGTAAGTCCAGTTATGTGTGAGTAGTGCCACTGTTCCTCTACATCAACAATAGCCAGTTGAGGTGGTTTGAGCATCTGGTAAGGATGCCCCCCCCTGGGCGCCTCTGTAGGGAGGTGTTCCAGGTAGAAAATGGATTGATGACTAGAAAATAAAATGCTGTCTTAAGCAACAGAAAAAATTTCCTCATTTTATTAATGGAATAATTTGAAGCTTTATGGTAAAAAAAATAAATTAAATAAAAACAAACTGTAGGCCTATAGCTGGCTTTTTCCAACCTGAAAAGTAATCAGTACACAATTAAATGACCTTGGCTTTTATCTCATCAGTGTGGCATCTAAGGACACATTTCTCACCTCCTGTTTGTTTGCCCAGTCCTTTGTGCTGTGGCTCCCTCTGCTGGTCGCTGCTGGAACTGACGGCGGACAGGACCTCTTCCGGCGTTACCGCCATGAACCGTTTCCACACGTCGTGAGTGTAAAACTCCACAGTGTGAGCATTAGCGATGCTAAGGGTTACAGACAAAAACCTTACGACTTCATCGATCTGCCGCTGAATTTCTGCGAGGCTATAACGATAAGAATTCATATCCTAAAGCTCTTTAAAGAGAACCTGGTGTACGAAGCGGTGTTTCTGACTAGTGAAGTAAGACAGAAACAGTCGAACACGAATACTCGATTTATACACAACATTACTGTCGCATTTATAATATATTTTTTTAATAAATAGGCTTTGCATACACATAAGAAGAGCATTTATAGGGTAAAAATGTACCATACAAAGGGTACATACACAGATTGTATCTATGTATTTTTTTTCAAATTATAGTTTTTTGAAAAAAAATATTTTGGTTAGTTTTTGAATGAAGTTAATAATCAATTATATTGCACTTCACCGCTAAAAACTGGGTCAGTACCGACATTTATATGATTAATAATCCAATAAAAACCCAACAAGTTATGTAATTTATTTGAAAAAAAAATCTTGTGTATTTAAAATACTGTATAGATGTTCGATTTTTCGTGTCTGTTTTATTACGTCATCAGCCTGCGTCAAAACTGAACGACATGCTAGCGTAAAATGTAGAAGCATTTAAAATATAACGCCTTTCTTAGTTAAAAAAACAAGTTCAAATGGCTCCAGTAGGTCACAAAATGAAGCATAAAAACTTCACAGAGAGAAATGACAGCTTGAAAAAAGCCAAAAAGTTGCCAGATGGAGTTAAAAATAAGAGAAGATGGATTCCAGACGACAAGAAATTCAAAGGCAGCGTTAAGGAAGGTGGGTTTCTGATTAAACTTCTTTTTTTTTTTTAAAGAACTTATATGTAATGCACTTTGTGAGATAAGATTTTAAATATATTTTTTACATTGGTGTCTGTTTTTGTAATGTAAGACGAAACATTTTGTTTGTGTCAAATTTTGTAAGGGTTGACAACTTTAGTGTGAACGTGCTCTTCCTATCAAAAATAAACATATTACAGAAAAATCATTCAACTTGTCTCCTCAGGTCAAGGCTTTGCTTTCAAGAAAAAGCAAAAAGTCAAACATGAGTACAACAAACTGCTGCGAAAGGAACGAAAGAAGGACCCTAACCCCAAAGTGTTGTACAAGGAGGAGTATCCAGAGCACCTGAAACATCTGTACCTGGCAGAGGCAGAGAAAATCAGGAATGAATCCAGGGCAAACAGAGTGAACAGAAGTAAGCTGAGAACGAAGGAGCAGCTGGAAGAGCTAGATGAAGAAGAAGATGATGATAAAACAGACTTTGCTGCAGGATCTGAGCTGACAGATTCTGTTTCTGTGAATCCAGAATCAACATCAGCCTCAGAGAGAAAAAGGTAACTTGGTGTTTTGACACAAAGCCCTCAAAATAAATAAGACTACAGTAAGATTTCTATTTCTGTACTCAACCTAGTTTTCAACTAATATAATGTAAAAAGTGTAAAAAGTAACAACCATTCTGTTTTCTTTTGATTTGATTTATGTCTTGATAACAGAGATGAGCACGTTATGCTAATTGGTACCGGTAATCTAATTTTGAATGTCCTTTAAACCTTCCACAGCTTTCATAGTCCCACTTCAATTCTTTCAAAGTTTTTAGTTCAATGTTCATTCATTTAGTATATTGTGTTTTAAATCAAATTTAGGTTTAACTGGTTTGAGACCCATTATGTATGTTTTAAATGATGAGTCTGAAATCCTTTGTGTAGTAAACTTTGTTGTAGTGCTGCATCAAAGATTTATGGCGTGTGACGTTCCAGTAGTTTTTGGATACAAAGCATCCGTTTATGATGACTTGTTTCTCCAGTCTATCAATAAGCAACCGCATGAAAAAGAAAATGCAAAAGACGACGTCGTACCAGAAGACGAAGGAGGAGTTTGAGAAAATTCAAGAAAAGCGGAGGCTAAAAAAAGAGGTGAAGTGCTGGCAAATGATATCGGTGATGTTGCTTTATCTGTCAAATTTCTCTCGTAGCTGGGATTCATTGCCATTTTAATTCCAGGAATACCTGAAGAACAAGCAGCAGAGGGAAGAAGCCATTCAGAGGTACAAGCAGAAAAAAAAGGAGACGTTTCAGATGCTGAGCAAAAAGACGAAGAAAGGACAGCCAAACCTGAACCTCCAAATGGAGTATTTACTTCAGAAGATCCAAAGAACTGACAAATGACTCTGCGACTGCCGTCATGCTTTTTTAAAACCAGAAGTTATTTTCTCACACGTTTTGTCTGAAATGTGAAACTTTCAGCTGGGCGTAATCAGATTTTATAAATCTTTGGACTTTTCAGATAAGAACAACATTCGATTTCTGCCTCAAACCACAAGGTGGCATTATCATATATGGAGCCATGTCCAGGGGTTTTCAGTAAATGTATTATTTTCTGTTGAGTAGTAAAATTTAAACTCAGAAATTAAATAGTTATTTAGCACATTAACATAAAAAAAACTTTCAATAATTTTCTAAATTGTATGTCTTATGTACTTCTGTCTGATTAAACTCCTTTCAGCAACAAACATTCAAGCCACTGTTTGCAGTTCCACTGTTTCATTCAGAAGATGTGAGCATCTTGTACACTGCATAAAGAGAAGTTTTTCTGCCCCCCCCCCCCCCCCCCCCCCTCCCATGCTTCTGTGTGTGGACCCAGCCCTAAAAGCCTCCGGCTGCTTCCTCATGACATCACATGGTTACAGAATGACTCGTGTTCATCCGTGAGGCAGGACTTCCTAAAGTGCAACAAAAAAAAAAAAGAGTCTGCTCTGATACTGAACAAAGGCTTCAGGTTACTGAGCAGCAAACTCAAAAGAGGTGAGAGACTTCTATTTCTGTGTTTGATCCTGTGATTTTCTGCAAACTGGTTCATCTGCTGTGAGAATCCTTTGTAAGGTTTAATTAGATTAATGAGCAGTAAAGGAGAGACTTGAACTGAGTTAACTTTTTTTATGTTGACTTTTACAGAAGTTTCTACATTGTATTTTATTATTATTTTTTTTGGTCAGAAGAGTGTATTTACAATTGCAGACAAAACTTTTGCAACATATAAATGTGTTGAAATGGCTTTTTATAAAGCCGAGGTGTTGCAGTGTTATTCTCAGAATTGACACTAGAGTCTATTAGGCGTTATGCTGGGGTGTTCCTTATGGTCAAACATCAAGATGATCTTTACTTTGTTGCTAATCCCTGAATGATTAGACAAAGAAAACGGTGTGCACAACCTCCATTCAGAAGAAGTTGGTCAAATGTAGAGGAAAAAACAGCGATGAGTTGCAAATAATCACAAACACATATTTTACACAAAATGGAACATAAGACATTTAAACTTAAAAAAAAAAGTAATGTAAAGTAATACTTCTGAATGGGGTGGTTGCAAAAAGTTGAGACAGCCATGTTGACCAGTGTGAAGCATCCGTTCTAACGTCGGTCTGTAAATATACAGGAGAGCAGCTGCTGCAGGTTTTGGAGGAGAATGTCCTGTTGTCTGATGGATTCTACTGTTCAACTATCCTAGGTTGTCCTTAGTGTATTTTTTGCTGGATATCAAGACACATAATCAGATTTTTAGATAAGGTTTTAGAAAAAGTGATATTCAGGTCTAGAAGTATTTGGACTTTTAATATTTTATCTTCTTTCCAATCTGGCTTCAGGAAACAACATGACTGCTTCGCTAAAGGTTTTTAATGATGATGTTGAAGCTTTGGATGTTAAGGATTACTGTGCTGCACTTTACTTAGACCTGTCCAAAGCCTTCGATACTGTAGATCATGACATCTTATGCCACAAGCTCTCAGATATTGGTTTCTCAGATCACACTGTTGGCTGGTTCTCAAACTCTCAGGTTGGAGGCAATGTGTTCAACATAACTTTACTTCATCTAGCTACCTAATGATCACCAATGGTGTGCCACAAGGCGCAGTTTTAGGTCCCACTCTTTTTACAATTTATATAAATAATGTAAGTCTAAACATTCCTGATGCACCGTTGCATCTCTATGCCGATGACACTGTTGTTTATTGTCGAGCTAAGACAGTTGCCAAGGTTTCCCAGCTTCTACAGTCTGCACTTGACATCATTCAGTCAGACTTATTCCACCTCAAGCTGGTGCTAAATGCTGACAAAACCAAAGGGATGTTATTTTCTAACAGAAAGTTGGTACCAGCAACTCTTCCTCCTATCTAACAGTTAAAGTTTCTGTTTTAAATGTGCTCTATAAATAAATCTGACTTGACTCTCATCCATACATGGTGTTCCTATTGAATTTGTAGATTCTTACAAATACTTGGGAATTTTGGTTGATGCACATCTCTCTTTTAAAACACATATTGAAAACTTGATTAAAAAAAAAAACTGAAATAAAACTGGGTTTCTTTTTCAGAAATAGATCTTGCTTAACTCTGAATGCCAGAAAACGCCTTGTAACTGCTAACTTACTACCGGCCGTTGACTACGATGACATTATTTACATGAAAGCCCCTGCCAGTTCCTTGCAGATGTTGGATGCTGTCTACCATGGCGCGTTAAGTTTTATAACTGGTTGTAACTACCATACCCATCACTGCACCCTGTACTCCTTGGTCCGTTGGTCATCTTTATCTACATGTTGGCTCTCACACTCATTCAGTTTCATCTATAAATCCCTTCTGGCCCCTTGCCTTCTTATATCTCCTCCCACATGTCACGCCGTCAGTGCAGTTACAACATGCGCTTTCAGTCCATCATTTACCTGCATCGTTCCCTCAGTGCGGACCAAACTTGGCAAAAAGGCCTTTTCCTACTCAGCTCCTGCAACCTGGAACACCTTGTAACAAGAACTGAAGCTGTCCTCCTTGATTTCTTACAGGGTTTCAAACATTTGATAATGTCAATGGAAAAATCACGCAGATATGTTCTTTTTTTTAGTATTTCACCGTTTTATTGTTTTGTACACTACTCTTGTATTAACTGCACTTTTACTGGAGTTTATTGTAATCATTGTTTATGTTCTGTCTGGAACAGGCCCCTCTTGCAAATGAGTCCCTGTGGCTCAGTGAGGCTAGCCTGTATAAATAAAGGTTGAATGAAATAAAAAAATATGGTACTGATTATGTATTACTGTAATCCACTTTTCTGAATACCTAACAGGAAGCATTAGGCATGACTTTTGTTTTTTGTGGTTTCTCTTTTCATATAGAAACCTCCAGGCTCCAGCCCGTTCTTATCAGCCAGCAAGGTATCGCTAATCTCATCCTCTGGTCCTGCTTTTTTTTCTCTGTCGTCATGGCAACTCTAAATGCTGGATTGAGAGCAAGTGAAGAGGACTTTTAATCCTGAAGTGCTGCGTGTTGCACAGTGTTCCTATAAAGAGAGTCAGTCATGGAGGAAGAGGAGGGCAGGGTGAACGGTTTTGGACTGACCCCGGAGAGGTTCGGCTCGGACTGGGCTCACATCGCCCTGCTGGACAAGACCAAGGAGTTCTTTCAGACCTGTGACGTGGAGGGGAAGGGTTTCATCAACAGCACTGATCTGAGGGTTAGAGATGATGGCTGTGTGTGTTTGATTTCACACTGTGGGTGTTGTGAGGAAAGACTTAACATCATGGTTGAACATCAGAATTATTAATTATGAAATGGTTAGGTAAAATTCTATTCAAAACCACAACATTTTAAAACACGAGGGCTGTTTTTTTTTAAATTAGAAACTCTTAAAAATATGTCTGATAAAGCCAGGACAGAATGTAAAAACATTAATCTGTTCAAAAGAACAATAGGTTATGCCTCCATGCTTTTACTTGTGCCGCCTGTTAGACTTTAATAATAGTGAATAACAAGATGGAAACACTTAGTGTCATTGTTCTTGTCCCACACACACTCACACTCCATTTTATTGTATTAAACAAAGCTGCTGACCCTCTTTAGTGCACCTGAACAACCTAACAAGTGCTTGACAAGTACCAAATGTTCACGAATATAAGTTGCACGCATCATTTCACAATAGGCAGAAGCCACTTTGACACGTTAAGACTGAGCTGCGTTGGCAGCTAATTGGGCCTGAATTCCTCTGAGCTTCGTGCGTTCATTACCGTTTCATGCGTTTATTTTCCAAGTAAACTGCTTGAGGGTGACAGATGAAACGGCCCCTAATGAGTGAATAGAGAGGCAGATTCAGAGTTTTCAGCGTTTTAACGCCTCGTCTGTTCGTCTTGTTCTCCTGACAGAGGCTCCACAGAGAGCTGCCTCTGTCTGCAGGAGAGCTGGAGGATGTGTTTGACTCTTTAGACACACACCGTGCTGGTTACCTCACTCTGGAGGCATTTTCTTCCAGATTCAGTAAGTTTCTTGCCATTTTTTTTTTTTTTTTACCCTTTTCTCCAAACATGTTTCCGTTTTTGTCAAAGCCAGCGCAGATGAGTGTAAATTGAGGCACAAAGATGACACAGAGCTGTGAAATGTATCTCCGGTAGTTCTTTTCTATGTCAAATATGCAGAACAATCCATTAGTTTTCCATGTGAAGCATAAAATTGCCTGTCAATTTAGCAGAATACCACACTGAATATAAGTGGAAATTACAAGAAAACACAATGAAATGCAACGATGAAACAAAAATAGATGAACTGTGAAGCTACAAAGATGAAAGAGAATTTGAAAATAAATTACTTTTTGACATAATTGTTTAAACTCTGATTATGTGATAGTGAAAAAGAAGTTTGGTGTCGCATGGTGCTGCTAATGTGATTTAACAAAGAAAATATCAGTCCAATGAGCCATCAGCCTTTTCTGTATACACTCAATGATTATGAAATAACAATTTTCCCCTTGAGAATTTTTATTTTTTTCTCTATTTTTTCAATTAGGTCCAAAGTGTGGAATCTTGTGTGCATCATTTTCATAATTTGTTAGTTTAAAACCTAAAACATCACCTACTGCTAAAAATATCCATCAAATCATGTTTTAGTTAAACAGGTGCCTGCCTATTGTGGCTGTGTATGGTTCTTCCACATGCTACTGAGGCTACTGTTAAAATAATAAATTGTTAAACTGACAATTTGTCCTGCCCTTTGTCCGAAATCAAACCACAAATTCAACCCTGCTGCTCAACACAGTTTTATTTTCTTTAATTATGTGAGAAATAAACAGACTTTACAACAATATAAGATTGATTACCATACACACAAGTTCTTACTTTTTGTGCCAAGTTAAAAAAAAACAACTAATAAACCACATTTTCAAAGTTTGCTTCAGTCTTGTATTTTTTAGCGTTGGAGATGAAACATCGCTCAGTAGTACTTTAAGAGTTGCTTAGATCTGGATGTTTTATAAGCTTTTGGAGGCACAGCTGAAGCACAGCAGAGAGGGATGATTTAAAAAACAACTAGATTTTGTTTATTTTAATTGAATCTTCCTTCTTGTTTGAGGTCCCCCTTCTTCTCGAGCTAAAAGCTGCAATGCAAATTAAAAAATGTTGCTGCCACCCAACATTTTGATCCTCCTTCTGCCTGCTCTGGTATTCTTTAAGGTCAGTTCCTTCACGGTTGTAGAATCCCTGTTACTGAAGATCAAAACCAGACCCCAGAGCCAGTGTTCAAGGCAAATGAAGCTCTTTACCAAAGCCAGTGGGAAGCCAAGTTGTCAGAAGTGGAAGATGAGGAAGAAAGGCACTTCAGTATGCTGCTGGACAGCCTGGGGGCCAGTAATGTATTTGAGGAGTGGGTCAAGTTTGTACAAATATACCTCTTTCTTTCAGATTTGTTCTTAACAAGCATTGTAATTTGGCAAACCTACCTGCCTGTGTTTCGCTCTTTTGCCTTTCGTCCAGTCCAGGTGAGGTGCGCGACCTTTGGGCCCAGCTCAGGAGAGATGAACCTCACCTCCTGTCCAACTTTGAAGAATTTCTGGCTAAAGTAACTCACCAGATTAAAGAGGCCCGCCAGGAAAAAAAGGAAATAGAGAGTGCTCTGCAGAGGTAGCACAACTTATAGCAACATAACCGTGCACGCATTTCAGAATAAGCTTTATCATTGTACCGAAATACAATGAGATCATGTCCGCACAGTCATTTGAAAGATGGGTGGAGTGCACGTTGCTGCTGCTCCTAAAAGCACGGCCCCATGGGAAAAGGGCAGAGAGGATAGTGGTATTACAAAAAAAGATCTTTTCACACCTTGTGCTTATCAGGATGCAATTTAAGACATCAAAAAACTCTACAAGCAAGTACATTTATAGACACATTACATTATGCATTTGATGGCAATAAGGTGAGATTTGTCCATGAAGCATATCCAGATGGCACCGTAGTCCTGATAAGATATTGGTGTCAGTCAGTACAGTTCTGATAAGCATTCACAGACGTTCTCGGGGTTGCGACAGCCTTCTAAGTTTACACATATCCCAGGAGAAATTTGATAAGTCTGTCTTCTTCAAGGCCAAACGGGGGGAGTCCGATTCAGATAAGCCACAATTGTTGATTTTTTTCTTATTATTTCTCCTCAGCCTTGAGTTCTGCTTGTACTTTTAATCCAAAATGGCCAGATTTGTGGGCATTCCACTGGTCCGTGCTTATTAGCTCCTTCCAAGGTCGTCCCCAACATGCCGGCGAGTCCCAGAAGCTGCAAGTGGCCTGCGATTCTCACAAATCGCTTCCATCTTATGGTTTAGCTCATAAATCAGCCAATTTTGAGTACTCGAAGAACAAACCAAACCTACAGACCGAGTCGGCAGCTTCGCCATGGCTAAAACTGCTGCCGCCTTCTTTTTTAATAGCCGATTACATAGGTATCCGCCGGTGCCAAAAAGCAGAAACCCTACTATCATGATTCCAGTATCTTCAGCGTCCTCCTTGGACAATACAGAAAGGCACATCATGACCATGACATATCCTGCTGCGTGCATCTCAGTGGGGCATGAGGGTTCTCCAGGACCCGGTCTCTTTGTTGAAAAAATGTTATAGATTGTGTTGAAAGTCATGTCGACCAGATCCATGACAGTAGTTTACGTTTTGGAAGATGTGTAAATAGGAGCTCCGATGCACAAGACAGAGTGAAAAAGCAGGAGGAGGATGGGAGAGGGAAGAAATGTGTTTGTCTTGCACGAGAGCGAGTGGTGGAAAAAAATTAGAATTATCTCCCTGCTGGATATGTACTCTGGAGCTGTTTGTGTGGATTTAACAGTAATTCATGAACCAATCCCTACCTTCCTATGAAATTATCTCAATCTGGACTCACATTGTAAACATTGCTACTTCTGTGGAGACTCAACGTACGAACAAGGTTCCCTGCTGCTGTTGGGCTCGCACGTTTGTTCAGTTATTTCTTATTAATTTATACGCATGCAACAGTTCTGTTTGTTCTGCCTTATGGAGTTAATAATAATTATTATTATTGCTTCTCCTCATAACAGGAAGGCTGCGACACATGACAACGAGATCCGCCATTTGTACGAAGAGATGGAGGCGCAGATTAAAAACGAGAAAGAACGACTTCTGCTACAGGTCCAAAGAAAACATCACAGATGCCTTTATTTTATTTTGACTGGATTTCTGTGAGGCTGTCCTGTTTAGTCTGCCAGATAAGACGGATAAAGATTTTTTGGGGGTCCTTCAAGTAGCAAAGGCATCTTTGGATCTGCCTTTTTAAGACTTAGGTGCTCAGTTAGCTCAGTTATAAGATTAGGTGTAAACATTTTCTCAAGCTGCTTCCCACAACCTGATTATTGTTATTCTCTTTACTTTTCAATGGGTTTATTGTCATTTGTTGGTATGTCTGTCTGGGGGGGGGGGGGTCTTTAGCTTCAGTCATGTGGGTCTTTTTACCCTGTGGCTTTAACGTTTTTCTCTTGTTTCCTTGTAGGACTCTGAGCGCCTTCAGCTGCGCAGTCAGGACCTGGAGCACCAGCTGTTGTCCAAGGAACGAGAACTGGACAACCTTTTTCACAAACAAAAAAGGGTGAGATAGTTTACATGTTGAAACAATTAATTCAAACTGAATATATATTTTTAAAGTTTGTTTATAATCCTGATTTGTGTGTGTGTGTGGGGGGGGGGGGGGGGGGATAATGGGGACATTTTGTTTTATAGCGATTTGTATGAATGTTTTGTACATTTTGCAGGAGGACAACAAACAGCCAAAAGCTAACTATTACCGTACTTGCCGCCGTACACATTGTATAAGTCGCATCAGTCCAAAAATGTCTAATGAAGTGGAAAAAAAACATAAATATTGCCGTATAAGTCGCATCTATTATGCATCACCTCTGATGCATTACATTTATCTGTCACCTCTGACCACCCAGAAACATGGGCGGGTGTTGTGCCAAAAATCGATTGGCTGCCAAATAGCGGCCGCGGGAGCGTGCACGAGAGGACTTTAACAAGATTAAAATTAAAAACAATTATATGTTTGCTAGAAATTATGGTAAAGATGTGTCTCAGTTGAAATTTTCCTTAATAAATGCACTTTGATGGTCAAATCAGCCGCATTTCACCTGGGTGGCGCAGCAAAATGCAGCTGATTTGACGTTTGCTCCAGGAGTTTCGGAGCGAGACGAAGGTGGCTGTATGGCAAGCAAAGTGTCTCATTAATAACCACTTTTACCTATTAGTGAGACACTTTGCTTGCCATATTACTCGGGGGGCCCTCTAGCGGCTGAAAATGGTAGTGTACATTATTTTCCATGTCAGAATGAATGAAATCATGAGATCTCAGTCAAAAATTAGTTTATAGATATGGGGAACAAACATAAATTAGTCGCTTCAGTGTATAAGTCACAGGACTTGCAAATTTATGCGAAAAGGTGCAACTTATACAACAACAAAAAAATACAGTAATGTGCTGGTTACGAAAACACAAAAAATTGATGAGTGAAACGTGTTTATAAACTCCAAAATAAGATCCTAAACTTGTAAAATTTGTCATTGTGTTTCATTATTGCATCAATTCTTACTACAGTCATTTGAGCTGTTAAAAACTTCTCACATTCATGGCAGTTAGAGCTCCAGTGCCACGAGCTGAACAGTGAGAAGCAGGAGAGCCACGTGGAGAACTTCAAGCTGAAAATGACCAATGAAGAGCTGTCCAGAGCGTTGCAGAGCTGCAGCCAGGAGCTCGCACTGGCCCAGGAGCAGCTGGAGGAGCTGCAGGAGCAGTCTGCCCGGCTGCAGCAGGAGAAAGAAACGTGAGTGCAAAGCATCCTGCAGCTCTCAGCTCTGTCGGAGATGACGACCTTTTTATAACCAGTTGTAACTTGCAATTTGTACTGAATTAATGTGTTCGCTTGTGTCTAAGGGAAATGTACAGAGTAACTGAAGGGCTGCAGAGGGAGATGCAAAGTCTCATGAAGCAGCTTGACCTCCTCAGGTAAGTCATGTCCAAACCTGGATGTTGTTACGCTTCAGTCACTGTGTGAATGTTTATGTAGCATTCACACTTTTGTGATCTATTTTTCTTCCGTACATTTTTCAGCATCTTTCTCGTCCCGCAGTTTTCAAGCTATTTCAACAAATCATAAATCAAAACGTTCAGCTCTTTCAGGACAATCCTGCTGTGACTTTTGGTATTGGTGCAACTTTAGCTTTTTGAAATATTTAGCCTTTTCTGCCACTTTTTTTTTTCTTCATATAAAATGAATTGAGCTCATTTTACATCCTTCAAATCTTAAGATCTGTTTACAACCTTTTCCTGCTCCTTTCACATTTTGTTCTGCTTCAGCATCTTTTAAACTTTTTTTTTCAGCTACTTTCGGTTATATTCAGCTGTTTCTTCTGCTGTTTTGCGCTCCTTTCACATTCTTTCTGCTAACTACAACATTTTTGTACTTCTAACTTCTTTCTGCTTGTTATGCGAGTTTCGTTATTTTCTGCTATTTCAGCTGTTTTTACGCTAATTTTAGGTTTTTCAGCTAATTCCACAGTTTTTGCACTTATTTAAACCTTTTCAGCCCAATTCAGCAAAAATGTGCTCTCTCCACTTCATTCTGGTAATTTTAAGCTTCTTTCTAATTTTTTAGCTACTTTTCAGCTGTTTATTTATTTATTTATTTTGCTATTCTGTTTTGTTTTTTCAGTTGATTTCCACTTTTTGTGTTCATTTCTGCTTCTTTCAGCCTAATTGGGCAACCATGTGTTCATTCTGCTTTTCCCAGCTAATTTAAGCTTGTTCTTCTTTTTCAGCTATTGTTTTAGCTTCTTTTTATTTTAGCTAACTTCAACTGTTTTTTGGGAAAAATTAGTTTTTTTGAGGTAACCTGCTACTTTCAGCCTAATTAACTTCTTTATGTTAATTTCAGCTTGTTATGCTTCTTTCAGCTTGTTTCTGCTAGTTTGTTATTTTAGTTACCATTTAGCTCTTCATGCTATTTCTAGCCTTTTCAGCTAAGTCCACATTTTTTAAAGCTCATTTCAGCTCTTTCCACTTCATTCTGGTTAGTTTAAGCTTCTTTCTGCCTTTTCAGATTTTTTTTGTTCATTTCATAATTGCTGTGCTAATTTCTGCTTATTTAAACCTAATTCAGCAAATATGTGTTCTTTCTGCTTTCTTCAGCTAATTTAGGCTTGTTCTTCCTTTTCAGCAAGTTCTTCTGCAATAAGCATTCATTCTGCATTTTTGCAGGAAATGCAGTTTCTCTATTTAACTTTGATTCTTTCCAGAGAAATGAACAAACATCTAAAGGATGAGCAAGACATCCGCTGTGGTGCAGTAAGTAAAATCTTCATGTTTAACTGATAACTTTGTTCTTTTTAATTGGCTGACTTAAAATAAAGCTGACATTTAGTTTTTTGTTTAAACAAGCCTCAGTCGTCAATCAGAAAGCAGCAGAAAGCAGGCCTCGAGGATTCCTCTGACACTAGCCATCCATCAAAACGGTACTTTATTTACCTTCTCATTGTTCTTTTTTTTAAATAAAACTCTCTCCTGTCAGATTGTTTACTGCACAACAAAGATTTCTGTTGAGAAAATCCTGCTTTAGAAGAGGAAAAACAGAGGATATCTGATTCTAAACAACAAAAATCAACCAAATTAACCGTGTTTTAATAACAAAAATGAAATCCTGACATGTTTATGATTTTGTCAAACAATTTATCTCACGCGAACTGATCCTCTGTTTGTCCTCTGTCCCCAAAGAGCCCCACCGTTGGTGGACGGGTCCTTCCAGTCTCTAGAGGCCTTGCCCATAGAGCACCTTCAAATTGTGTTTGTCGCTTCCTCCTCCTGCAGTGAAGATGACGCCCCCGATAAAGCTGCCAACACCCCCAAACCACAGCAGCAGTCCCCTGTGAAGAGCTCAAGCTTAGCCAACGGTGACGTCAGCCTCGCTCAACCCAACGTGCACGAAGTGAAGGCAAAGGCCAGGAGGACATTGTGCAAAACTGGCGCGAGCAAGAAGGAGGTAAACAAAGAGCGGACAAAGAAAACAGAAGCTGAGAGGAAGGTGGAGGTAGAGGAGGAGGTCCTGGATACGCCTGCGGACGGGTGGCCCCTGCGCCGAGTCATCTCCATTGAGGAGGACCCCCTGCCGCACCTGCTTCATGGTGCACCCCAGCCCTTAGTGCACCAGCTCGCTGACGATGAAGCTAGCCTTGTAAAAGCTCCAGGTGTCTCTGTACCCCCTCCCTCCAGACTCACAGTGGACACCGAAGCTCCTGCTGCAAAGAAATCCCACGTTACCCGAATAAAAAAGAGCCAAGAGTCTCCAAGAGGACAGCCTGTTGGGAAGGAGACCCGGCAGGTAAAGTCAACTTTAAATCCACTTATTGTTGTTTTTGATTGTTTATCTTTTTATTTTTTTATTTTTTTTAGAAAACAAAAGAGCGAGAGTTGTTCGCCCCCGACCGCCTGTTCAAGGTGGTCCTGGTTGGAAACTCCAGCGTGGGGAAAACCTCCTTGCTGCGTTCCTTCTGCGAGGGGCGTTTCCACCCGTCCACAACTGCTACTGTGGGTGAGAAGAACAAAACCACATACTGGGGGGGACATTTTAACATTTAAACATGAAACGTGTGCTTTCTGTGGAAGCTTTGAACGAAGATCAGAGGGTGGATTAGCATCACATGAAACGGCTCGTGAATGTGAAGTCACGCTGCCTGGCACGCATTGTGCAGCACATTATGTCCCTTCCCTGTTTTTACCTTCGTTTAGTGTCTCACTCTCAACCCCTGCTGACCATTCACGCCTCTACACTTTATTATCGCTCAAATAAAAAAAAAATAACTAGTGAAATGTCCCAAACAGGTATTGACTACAGTGTGAAGACATTAACCCTGGACAACATGCAGATAGCCATGCAGCTTTGGGACACTGCAGGTCAAGAAAGGCGAGTTGTATTTACACCTTTCAGCTGGTTTTTATGAAATCCTTTATATTCAGAGACAAAATATGTGAGAAAACAACATATTTTTGCACAAATTTCTCCGATCCACATGTCTGTTGTGTGTTTTACAGCTACCTAAATATATATTTGCATAAATGTAATTCTATAATTTTTCTTTCTTTTGTATGTACGGTAGTAAAGGTGTGTCTCAGTGGAACTTTTCCTTAATAAATGCACTTTAATGGTCAAATCGGCTGCATTTCACTGGGCGGCGTGGCAAAACGCAGCTGATTTAACGTTTGCTCCAGGAGTTCCGAAGCAAGACGAAGGTGGCTGCTATGGCAAGCCAAGTGTCTAATTAATAGCCATTTTTTTAAATTAATGAAACACTTTGCTTGCCATTTTACTCGAGCGCCCTCTAGAGGCTGAAAATGGTAGCGTTTAATATCTTCCATGTTGGAATGAATGAAATCATCAGATCTCAGCCAAAAATTGGGTTATAAATATCGGGGGAAAAACATAAGTTGCTTTGCCGTATATTTGCAGGGCATGCAAATTTATGCAAAAAGGTGCGACTTATACGACAAAAAGTATGGTAGTTCCTTCTTTTACTAGAAAGCCTGTGCACAAATGTTTATCTTGTAGCCTTGCTGTTTCTGCAGGTACCACAGTATCACCAAACAGTTCTTCCGTAAGGCCGACGGGGTGGTGGTGATGTACGACGTCACAGTGCTGGAGAGCTTCAAGGCCGTGCGACCCTGGCTCCTCAACGTCCAGGTGAAACGTTGTTAACGCAGCTGAATGTGGCGATTTATTTACCACAAGCTCGTCATTTGTTAACTTTTTATCCAGCTACGTGTACACTTTTATCTGTATTGTTATATATATATAGTCTGTTATATTTCATATTATCTTTTAAAGGCATGTGTCTATTAGCTTTTAAAAGTGGATTTATTACTAGTTATTTTTTTCATTTGAGAAGTGCGTGTTTGCTTTTTGCTTTTCTCACAGGAAACTGCAGGTGAAGGGATCCCCATTCTGCTGCTGGGCAACAAAATGGACATGGAAAGAGAGAGGGAGGTGTCGCGTAAGGCGGCTGAGCGGCTAGCTTTCGTGAGTGGAATTACAACATCCAGATACTTTTAACATTTCCAGTTTTTGTTGCTTTAAAGCAGCCCTGTTGACAGTTTGTGTATCTAACTCATGTTTGTGCCGCATCCTATTTAGGAAAAGAAAGTGATGTTCTTTGAGGTCAGTGCCTTCACCGGCAGGAACGTGACAGAGTCCCTGACACATCTGGCCAGGTGCAGTGTCACGTCAGAGTCTAGAGCATCAATGTTGGGAAAGAAAACGGTGTTCCACTGTACACATCATGAAATATGATGTGTGGTGGTTCTAACAGTGTGGTGTCATGCAGCTTTCTTTCTTGTTTTTCAGAGTGTTAAAGGAGCAGGAGGACACGGTAAGAGACATGACGGTCATCCTCAGTGCTCGGCCCACCAGGAAGAAAGCCTGCTGCAAGTGAAGCCCAACAACTACAACAAAACTAGAGAAATTGCATTTCCTCTGAAAACGAAGGGTGAATGCTTATTGATGAAGAACTTGCTGAAAAACAGCTAAAATTAGCAAAAAAATATATGAACATGCTGAATTTTAGCTGAAAAGGAAGAACAAGCCTAAATTAGAAGAAGAAAGCAGAAAGAACATGTTTGCTGAATTAGGTTTAAATAAGCAGAAATGAGCACAGCAATTATGAAATTAGCTAAAAAAAAAGGCTGAAATTAACAACAAAAAGTTGAAAAGGCAGAAGGAGGCTTAAACTACCAGAATGAAGTGGCAAGAACTGAAATTGCTTTAAAAATGTGGAATTAGCTCAAAAAGCTAAAAATAGCATAAAACAGCTAAATAGTAGCTGAAATAACTGAAACTGGCAGAAATAAGCTGAAAGGAGCATAACAAGCTGAAATTAGTAGAAAGAAGTTAATTAGGCTGAAAGTAGCAGAAATTATATAAAAAAAACATTGAATTTATCTGAAAACAGCTGAAATTAGCTAAAAATGCTAAAAGGGAGAACAAGTTTAAATTAGCAGAAGAAAGCACAAAAAACACCTGTTTGCCCTGTTTTTAGGCTGAAAAAAGCATAAATGAGCACAAAGTGGAAATTATCAACATCAAAAAAACTGAAATTGGCCAAAAAACAGTTGAAATGTAGCTAATAAAATGCAGAAGAAAGCTTAAATTACCAGAAGGAAGTGGAGAGAGAGCACATTTTGGCCGAATTAGGCTAAAATAAGTTGAAATGAGTACAAAAAATGTGGAATAAGCTGAAAAGGCTAAAATTAGCATAAAACAGCTAAATAGTAGCTGAAAAAGCTGAAACTTGCAGAAAGGAGCTGAGAGGAGCATAACAAGCTGAAATTAGCAGAAAGAAGCTAGAAGAAGCACAAAAATATTGTAGTTGGCATAAAAAAATCTAAAAGGATCACAAAACAGCTTAAAATAGCTGAAAGTGGCTGAACCAGAACAAAATGTGAAAGGAGCAGTAAAATGATGAAAACAGATCTAAAGATTTGAAGGATGTAAAATGAACTCAGATCATTTCCTTTGAGGAAAAAAGTGGCAGAAAAGGCTAAATATTTCAAAAAGCCAAAGCTGCACCAAAGCAAGAAGTCACGGCACCCTTCTCCTGAATGAGCTGAACGTTTTGATGTATGATTTGTTGAAATAGCACAAAAATTGTGGAACGAGAAAGATGCTAAAAAACGTACAGAAGAAAAATGGATCACAGCAGAGTGAATGCTTCATGAACATTCACACCATTACATCTGAGAAAAAGTGATGCTGTATACTCAAATCACTCTTTGACCAGATTCTGACGGCTAAGCCTTGTTTATTTTAACAAACATTATTTATTTTAATAGAAAAAGGTAAGAAGCTTGTGAAGAACCTGCTCAGTCATTTTAATGTTTGTAATTTAAAAAACACTTAATCTAAAATGAAATCACAGAGATGTTGTAGCTTATTTACACCTCTTAGGTTTCAAATCTTTCTTTAGTAGTGAAATATATCTTATGTTGTGTATGAAGCATTTTTAGACAGGATTAGAAAAAAACAAATCAGGTTTGGTTTTTGTGACATTTTATTCACATTCATCTGTTTTAGTGTTTTACTTCTATTCATCCATTTCCAGAAGAAGCTGTTTTACATCCGTGTTGAGACATTTTCCTGCTTTGTTCTGGCGCCAGAGCACATCTGTCCTGAAACAGTTGAAGATATAAACGCAATTTTTGCACCATCTGAAATCAGTAACTCAAACATGTTTCACATGCAATATGAAAAATAAAATATAACCAGTTTTTTTATTCTATTGAGCTGTTTGCAAAACCGCTCTTGTGGTTTGAGAAGCTGCCCTACTGGCCTCATGGTGTGTTCAAAGACTCCTATTAGATAAAAATACAAACGATTAGATCCTCAAAAGGCTGTAGCAGTTACAGCGTACAAGTTTTTGCCTGATTTATTATTTCAAAGCAGCTTTTTAAGTTGTATCTTTTAACGTTTTATAGGATTTATTTTTAAAATTCATGTTGATACACATTTTAACCAGATAAATTAGTATTTTTTTAAATCCTTCTCAAGCTTTGTTACATAAGCATGAAAACAGCCTTTTTATTTCTACATTTACCAAACTCCAAAATAAAAAAATAAAAAGCTGATTTAATCTACCTTTCGTACTTTCAGTGATGTCAAAGAGGTTTTTAAAAGCTGAAGGAATTTAATATTCAATTTCCAAACAAAGGGATTCAATTTTTAGGGGCTGATTTTGAAGCAAACTCCATATTTAACAAACCACTAAAAGAAAAACAGTGGTTCCCAACATCACACAGATTCGTGACTTCAATAAAGATAAAGAACTCGATGACTTTTGTTGAAAACTCAAAGTAAATCCCAAGAATCCAGATAAAAAGGAAACTTAAGTCAAGTTCTTGTAGGATGTAACATTCAGTCATGTGACGGCACTATTGCTGAGAATTACGTGCTTCTTCTGATCACACCTGTGCCTTGAATGCATCACGTCAGATGTGTCAGACTGCCCTCGTCGACCCACTGGAGTGGGTGTTTAAGAACCTTTCGCCCTCTTCCTCCTCTCCGGTTGTGTCCAGGTGGGCTGAGGGCAGGTCCGCACCAGCAGCTCTGTTGCTTCCTAACGCATTTTGTAGTCGTGGGAAATGGCAGCTTCACATAGTTGTCCTTTAAAGTCTAGCTCCAGGGTGAACTCCAGGTCACGCTGCGAAAAGGTAAAAGGAGAAAATGTCCACTTTGTAGGAAACTGCTCAATTAAAATAAGGCTTGTTTGACCCCTTCAAACAGAGTCAACTAACAAATACTCATTTATTCACAAAACAATATTAATTGCATAAAGTGACATCTCAACAGGACGCTTCTCTTAAAACTATTTTTATGTGGGAAGAAATATTTAAATATATATATATATATATATATATATATATATATATA